AGCTGACTGCAGAAAACACTGCTCTGGCTGCAGAAAACACTGCTCTGCAAAAGAAGGCTGCAGAAAATGCTGCTCTGGCTGCAGAAAACACTGCTCTGCAAACGAAGGCTGCAAAGTTTGAAGAGAGAGCTGCAGTGTACAGTATTCTGAGAAGGAAGGTGGATGATAATAATGCAGCTCTGACTGAAGAAAACACAGCTGTGAGGAAGGAGGCAGCAGAAATCACTGCTCCGGCTGCAGAAATCACTGCACTGAAAGAGCAGGCTGCAGAGAATGCTGCCGGATGAGATTAGGCTTGCAAACTCAATACCGATCTTTAAATCACTGCTCAAAACTTATTTTTATAGGAAAGCATTTCTAACATGCGACCTTTAATTACTTGCACCACAATAAAGACACTTACAGAGTTCACGTATGATGTTCTTGAAGTCCCTCTCCCTTACCCTGACCCCACCACCCCATCTCTCTCTCTATTGTACTCCCTAATTGCCACCCACCTCCTCTTTCCCCATTTTTCTCCACTCACCCCAACCGGTCGAGGCAGATTACCCACACTGAGTCTGGTTCTGCCAGAGGTTTCTCCCAGCTAAAGAGGAAGTTTTTCCCTCTCCACAGTCGTCAAAGAGCTTGCTCATTGTGGGATCTGTTGGGTTTAATCTCTTTATATACAGTCTATGGGTTTAATATGACAGATTCTTACTCTGCTTCCTACGACAGTAGGTATTTAGTTCAATTTAGTTTAAAAACAAATAATAATGATATCTTATCTATCGAGGGGGCCACATGGCTTTCATAGCACTGCCATACAAGCCAGTAGCCAGTCAGATTTACTTTTGGCCTCTCTCAATGTTTTTGTGATTAATAGGCTGAAATACTTGATTACACCAAGGTACAACTGAATTTTTTTTATTATTATTACGACCACCAGTTTTAAAGAGCTCAAATGTGATGGTTAAACTCTTCTAGTCATGGATTTGATTATTTTTCCTGTGAAGCACTTTGTAACTTTGTTTAGATAAGTGCTATAAAATTCAGTTATTATTATTATAACTTGCTCTACGCTACCAAGATGGTGAATGTTGAGGGTGAGAGATATGTGGTGCAGGTTTTTATTGTGTCCTGCATGTTGCTCTACATATTAGTAAATGTAAGAAACATGTTGCTGGCTGAGTGTATTTCAGGTTTACATGAGTTTAAATCACATTAGGATTAGTTTGTTTGAAATATGTTATGTGGGATGTGAATGAGGGAATTGAGCACATGGCACATAGAGGAATGGCAGTAGTGTTAAAAACCTTGGTCCATTAGACTAGTACATATTTTCTTTCAAGTGAATATTACAAGGAGGAAAATGCACAAATATCCTCACTGTTACCATTGTCTGGCTGAAATCTTCTACACTCATGCTTACTAAGTTGACAGGGAGAGCAATGGAAAAACATTTTTTTTCCCAGAAATCCTTGCAAACAAAAAGCAAGGGAGAATTTCCAGAAGAGGCAGAACACTCGTAACCACAGGTAATATGTTTCTCATGGTGGTGCATTCAGCGAGAAAGGAAAATCCTTTGGTCAAGCCGAGCTATTTATTCTGTGCCTGGAAACAGTTGAAGAACAACATAAGCATTCTCAACAAAGGATAGCACGACCTAATGCTGCTGCCTGTTTTCCTCTGTCTGTGGCGACCATATCCTCCCTCGACGTGGGGGCACAACTGGAGCTCAAAGAGCCACACAATAGGCACACTGAGCCCAGGGAGAACTTTTCAACTCAAAAGCTATGTAAAAAATCCAACCAAAACAAGGGACACGGCTAAGTTAATCCTTAAAAGTTTCAATTTCACTGTGGGTAAGCTCATGGAAAGAAACAAAAACACTGCCAGCTCTGTTGTTTGGATTTGCAGGACGCGGTGCACACGAATACCCACTCACATGTACTTACACTGTAGTTTATACACACACCCACACAAACACTTGCCAGAGTACCCACAGTGAACTCTGTCCGCTGACTCGCTTCAAGCTCGGGAGGAGGTCCAGGTTTTCGGACCGGCAGGGAACAGATTGTGGTGGTCTGGATCTTTTCGAGCGCTGGATTTTCAACCCACAGCCCTCTCCTTGTTTACTATGGTACTGGATTAGAGGGTTACACACACACACACACACACACGCACACACACACACACGCACACGCACACACACACTCAATTGCAGGGATAAGATAAGTCTAATTTATTTTTTCCTTCATTATTACCTCCCTCTTTTTCTCCACATTGATGTAATATGTTTATGAAATGTCATAATCTCTACAACTCCTCTTTCAACATCAACATGTTGACACATTCTGATTTACTGCAGCATGATGCACTTTTCTTAAAACCCAATCAGTTTGCTTAGGAGAGATGGGAAATAAAGATAACGATAATAATTCAACATGTTTTTAGTTAAAATACTAAGTGTAAATTAAACATTTAAAATTCACTGTGGGATTTTCCACCAGCAAACATTGTTGATTGTTATAATCCTGCGACAATAACAAACATTTACTCTGTACTTAAGAGTGAGCCCAGGTGATAAAGGAATAAACCGGAACCACACATTGCTGTGCCAAAATTATTTTATTTACAATAAATTAAAGCAATAGGGGGTTAAATGCAGGTCACAGCAAAATAGGGATGAAGGTAACTGTGGCAGACAATTCCCTTATTTTGACAAAAGGTTTAGGATTCACTACAACAACAAGGGAAAGAGTCCATAGCTACCTTTAGCCTTGTTTAGCTTGTTAGCATTCAAATATTTGATAATCAGCTGTGAACAAATACAACCGAGGATGATGAGTCAAAGCGGAGGGTGCTGAGACAAGGTTTTATGTAACGACGTTATATTAAATGAGAGAACAGCAAACTAGCATATCACGCTGGTGCATCATAGTACCTACTCAGCTGTGGACAGTTCACACACTGAACACGTTTTATCCTTATGAATAAAACTTTTAGTTGGTGCTCAAGAAAAGTCAGAGTGTCTGCTCCAAATCATAGTAGCAGTCCAACTCATAATTGTCAAGACAGCCTCACAGTGGTCCTGGAGGAAAAGTCAGGAAAACACCAAAGTCTGCAGGATTCATCCTCAGGGGACCACAAATTTGTTTCTCAAATTTTTATAGCAAATCATCAAACACATGAGATATTTCAGTGAATTCAAGCACTTGTTTTACTGGAGAGGTTGTATTTAGAAAAGATTATTTGTCTGGCACCTCCTGTCTCTAAAGTGTTGACAGAGAGAGCTGCCATTTGTTAATCTTTCAGCAGTTCTGCATGTGTGACTTAATCTTGACTGATGACAGAAGGAAATGTATTTCTCTGGAACTTGGAGACTTTTGTGTGGAACATTCTGCCTCTAGGAAAGTTTCCTGGAGCCAGGAAGAATTAATTAATAAAAAAGTCAACTGTCACATCGTTTTAAGTGATTGTCACTTGTTTTTTTCTCTCTCCTTCTGTTCCTCCTTTCCCTGGCCGTTTGTGTTATGTAACGTTCATCCAGAGTTATGAAGATGTGTGCATGTGGGTGCGTGTGAGAGTCATTGCTGCCATATTTTCATATTGTCTGAAGCTTCCTGATGTAATCGGCCAAATCGGTGTCTGAAAAAAGAGCCTGGAAACAATAGGTAGGGGTCAGACAGGTTGAGGGAAAACTGTTTGAGGAACAATGTTATCAGCAGACCTGGTAATAAAATCCTGATGGTGTGGAAAGGTACAAGCCTTTTGAGTAAAGAAAGCCTTCCGCTATCCTAGTTTCACCTGAACTTTCTATTAGAAGAATGTATTGGCTTGTCACTCATGACTGCATGAACAATTTTACCTTCTCCATCTGTCAGCCACGATAACTCCTGATGTGACAGCTTGTGGCAGTCTCCTGACAGGGTTTATTTGTGCTGCCTTGCAGGTGGATGTCGAGAGGGATCAAGACCAGCAAGTACACTGACTCACTCCCTTTTTTTTACCCCTAAAAAAAACAACAAAAAACAAGTTGGGAAGTTTTATTTCATATCTGAAAATACCATTGGCCAGATTCCCCTGAAGCCCCATCATTGGGGTCAAAATTCAAATTTGTTCAATAGGCTACTTTGATTGGTATCTTCCAGAACTGAACTCCATGTTTAGTGCATAGACAGACTGCATATAAAGATAGACGATGCATCATCATTTGCTCCCACTGTGCAAAAATAAAGCCAAAATATCTCAGATATTGTGATGCCATCTTGTTCTTCGGACATCATTTGAAGTCAGAGTCTGTTACTCTGAAGTGAAGCCGTGACACTGAGGTCCCACCTATACACATGCTCAACCAATCACAAGTCTCAGCTCTCATTCATCATGGTTTTATAGAATCAAATAAGCAAACACATTTTCAGAAAAATTTGCAAGAACATGACATTGTGAGCGATAATGACTCAAAATTCTAGAAACCATTCCAAACCAAGTGAGAAATTGTCTTCGACAAACCAAGTACATGAAGAAAGATTTGAAGTTGCCACCGGAGCAGCAGTTTCAGTTTATACAACCCTGTTTTCTGTGCCTGAAACAAGAAGACAGCAAGGCCTGCCGCCCTGGGACAGCTGCAAAAGCATCTCTGTTATCCCAAAGAAAAAGTGTAACCTTACAAGAAACACAACATTCCTCTGGGCCGTTTTGTGCCAAACTAAAGTGCATTTAATATTTGCGTTAGATAAAGGAGCAAAATAATAAACTCGATCTCATTGGGGTTTGGTGCTTTGAACTGCAGCGTAATAAGTCCCTTCATGTGTAAACAACAGGATTTCTGGAGCTTTCACACAAGCTTACCCTCACCCAGGTTCATACTTGACACGCTGGGAAATATCAAATTAAATGAGCTTCTTAAGAAAAGAATAAAATGATAAATAAATAGCTGTATTATTACTCAGGGCTGTTGTGGCTAATAGCAGACCCCCCTTTTAAAAAATATACAGTGAACATGATGCTCCTCATGGTGAGCAGCTGAAGGGTTTTACAGTCAGCCTCCCCCCATGGTGTTACCAGGAGAAAACTTTAAATTTTGGCTGTGTCCAAAATCACTCACTAATCACTATATGGTGAGTTTGCCATTTTGTAGTTCTGTAGTTTGTATGTCCAAATGTTTAGTGAGCTTTTTTCATATCCTACATAATGCACTCATTGTTTCCCATAATGCATCATGAAAAATAGTGTACAACCAATCAAGCAATATGTACAATCATTCTTTACAACGTGTAAATTAAACATTTAAAATTCACTGTGGGATTTTCCACCAGCAAACATTGTTGATTGTCATAATCCTGCGACAATCAAACATTTACTCTACTTAAGAGTGAGTCCAGGTGATAAAGGAATAAACCAGAACCACACATTGCTGTGCCAAAATTATTTCATTTAATTGGGGGTTAAATGCAGGTCACAGCAAAATAGGGATGAAGACAAATTCTACAAATAACACAAAAATCCAATTTATTAAATGAACAAACCTAAAATAAGCAGTATGGCCAGGTAAAACAGTATCAAAATATGTCTGCAAATTATGAATAAACCACCAGTACATAATGTGAAACAATTCAAAGCTTAGGCAACCACACTTTAACAGACATGGAGAACTGCAACTGAACCACTCAGTAACCTTTAACACTACAGGAAAACAAGCATACCCCCCCCGCCCCAGATTAGCAAATGGCACATAAGACTCTAATAAAATGGACGGGGGGGAAAAAAACTGTGTTCGGTTCTTCCTATTGTGTCTTTGTTTGAAAAGTATATTGATAAAACAGCCATAAATTAAAAAGGGATTGACAGGTTTAATTTGCAGGTGAAACTGCTTAAATGCATTTATGGCAAGTATTAAAATTACCAGAGGACAAGGCATCATTGTAATGAATACGATCAGGCCTCACAGGATTATCACATTTGTTCATAGAAAAAAAATATAGGTCATCATAGGTAAAATAATCAACACCATTTATACATCCATGTCCATCCCAGCATTTAAATCCACACATATTCGAAAAAATCTGTTTAAAAGCGTTTCCATTATGTTTAAGCACCTTGTTAAGGCTGACAGGCCTAAACAACTACTTCAAGCATTAATCCCTCACCAAACATGTGCACACTTAAAGTTACAGTGTGTAGAATTTAGTGATATCAGTGTTGAAATTGCATGTTGCAGCTGAACACCCCTCATCCTATCCTTCCAAACATGAAAAAGAAACTGTGGTGGCCTTTAATTGTCACAAAACTCAAAAGGTGCTTTGTTTGTCCAGTCTGGACTAATGTAAAAAAACATGGCGGCCTCCGTAGAGAGGACCTTCTAGATG